CTGGTGCAAATTACTGACCTCTGTCATCATTTTAGGTGGGGGAACTTGCACAATCGGTGGCTGACTAAATACTTTTTTGCCCCACTGTATTTGTAGGGTACAACTGAACTATTATTGTAGTAAAAGTATGCTTTAGAAATAATCATAACAAGAAAATACAAACTTATTATAAATTCAAAATTGAGAGAAATATGTAACATAATAGATGTTATAATTTACAAGAAATAAATTAAACACACCGCGTTCAATGTTCAGTCATCCTAAACAACCACATGCCAGGAGTCATTATAATAATATTACACACAGATTTAAAAAAAATAACCCAGTGCTTAAGAATAAAATTGTTTTTGTTTGCTTTTTTTACGAAATGATAAACAATAAATCAGTTCTTGCTGAAATGATTTTCCCCTGCGTATAACCTCAATAAGTAAGCTAACAACCTTATCTATAGATCTCTTTATTAAACAGCCTGTAGAAAAGAGCTTATTTATGTTACTAAAAACCACGACTGTACTAACATAAACAAACCACTAACTAATTAATGAATGTCTCAACAATACGCCCTTAATAACAATAACTTACTTCTAATAACTTATTCTCGTTTGGCAAAAAACTTGGCCTTGGTGATCATGTGCTGTTGTGCTCCTGTCCAGATTTGTGTTTACGGACATCAGAAAGTGAGACAAGTGTCAAAAATATCAGGTCGCCTTTCTCTTCTCTTTGCAATTTATTTACAGCCTCAAAGGCGATGTAGACACACAGAATGAAAGAGAGCACAGAGGAGAACAGCAGGGATGCTGAAAGTAAGTAAATATGAATAAAGTATTGTTTTTACTACTTTGGGTTTTGGGGCTGAGTATACTCTGTCATCTCACTTTCACGTGTCTCTTTATGAAGCAGGACAGTGTTTCAAAGGTAAGGACTCGTGAAATGTCATGTATGAGACGCTTGTATTGCAAGACACAGACAGGAAGTGTGAAGTGATTTTCTGCAATTATGCTTTTATACACATCTTTACACAGAAAATATTGTTTACTGCTATATTAAAGTTTCAAAAAGAACCAGTAATAAAAATGCAACGTAAAGTACACATTATCAGTAAAAATATCTGTAGTATCTTTTCAGGTGGTGAATTAATTATATGAGGAATTTTTCAAATAAAATTATTTAAAAGAAAACAATCATTAGAAATCAGCATGATTAGAAAACTGATGGAGCATGATTTGTATGGAGGCTACCAGACTGCAGCAATGTTGTAATGGACTGAAAACCTTACAGTATCTGTAGCTCAAGATCAGTAGCTTGTCACCTATTGATATAGATCGAGTCTATACCCCTGTAGCTCTGTTATATCCTTAAAGTGTTAAGATGACATTTAGGTTTACTACACGTATACAATGTTTTTAAAACTGCAAGGTAAAAATAGATCTCAACAACTCTGCTTGTAGTGCATGCCAATATAGTGTTAAATATGCTGTCTGTTTTGAATTATTCACAGTTATTAGTTAGAATGGTGTGAATAATAATAATAATAATAATAATAATAATAATAATAATAACAGATGCCTAGAAAAACCTCAAAGAACATTGTGGCCAAATATCATGAAACACCAATACAATCATTTACCTTTGTGTGGGGGAAAATCCAAGTGAGTGGTGCTTTGTGACTGTTACAGCTGTCCTGAGTTATAAGTCAAAACATCAAAGGACACAAAAACGAGTGTCTCATGATTAACACTGTGGGTCTACTGACAGCCACTGCAAAGTCTTTGGTCACATGTGCGATTCTCCATGGACTGTGTCAGCCTCTCATTATGCTGCTGAGAAGTTTGACCTAATGGAGTCTTCTCGTAGCTGACGATGCTTCCCAGAGTCACATTCTTCGCCGTGTGTGCGACGCTCAATGGTAATTCTGTAGTTTTTTCTGCACAAGAAGGATTCAAAATAAAGTACAAAACGATGTCTTTCAATATGTTTGTTTTTCCTCTACAATTTTTACTTTAATTCCTCTCTTTCACCATTAAATCATACTCAGCAAAGTCATGGAGACCCCTCTGAAAGCAGGGGCTAAAGTTAAAACGCTATAACATGCAAAATAAATCAGGAAAATCTAATATGAAAGTCCTTCACTTGAGTGTTTGATGATGTGACTGCTGATTAACTCTGAAGTTTTCATTTCTTCTTAATTTCAGTAAGTAAACCAGTTTTGAGTCAGTAAGATTTCATTTGAGATATAATTCCTGAAGTGTACATAGTTTTTATCCAAGGCAAAATTACACCAGAACATACCACTGTCCAGAAGAGCTGACTACATAGTTTTTTACCTGAAAAAGTAGAACGCTACGAGGATCACAGCCCCCAGAACAGCTCCGACTATGACTCCAGTCAAAGCTGACACTCCTAGTCCACCTGTTTGGACGAGCACTCATTAGTGAAAACAAACACTGCACCAAAATATTGTTCATCAATGTCACACGTGTCATTAACATACATTTACAGGGTGTGTCTGATTTATCGGTTTTCTCAGGGTGGTCTTTATCCCCTCCTTTCAGACTGAAATGCTCAGTGTTGAATGCTGGCAACAGCTGAAAAGTCCCATTTACACCAAAGTAATTGGCCACCACCTGTAAATGAGTCAGATTGTTGTTGTTATTAAGCTGCACAACACATTCCCAATATGAAGCCTGTTAGAGATCTTAGAGCTTCTTCTTACCTCATAGGTTCCTGCTTCAACATTTATCATGGTCATCAAAGAGAAATCTCCATTTCTATCACCATTGGCATCTATAGACACTTGGCCAGCAATTCCTGCAACCCATTATGAAGCAGCATTATTTGACTACAATCCCAGAAATGTAGAGGGAAAGATACCTCACTACCTCATAGTGCATGAAAAGGTTTTTGTTTTGTTTTCCTTTTTGGCATATTTGTCACGTTTACATCTTTCAGATCACAAAATAAATTGTAGTACTAAACAAAGATTTTAAATAATCTTCCCAGGAGTGACTAACCTACCAAAATTGCAGTGCAAAAGTGCATCGACATCTCCTCCAGTAGGTCACAAAAGAACCTAGAACAACATCTAAGGAACTGCAGGCCTTCATTGCCTCACTTAAGGTCAGAGTTCATTATTCAACAAGACGCAGAGCAAAAATGGCATCCATGGGAGAGTTCCAAGGAGAAACCAAAAACAACACTAAGGCTCATCTCACCAACAAGTATCCTGATGATCCCCAACACGTTTGGGAAAATACTATGTGGACTGACAACCAATGTTCCCTCTGCTGGCACGTCTCTGTGTTGCGCACAAAAGAAATCTAACCTGAACTGAAATTAAGATTAAAACTTTAACAATTCTGTTCTGCAGTGTTAGTCAGTGACTGGCTGCTCCCGTATGGGATCAGAACGATGCCACCTTATCCCACAGTCCAGCCAATGATGCGATTCACATTCTGATCAACGTCGCTGACAGGCTATGACAGCGTCCTTATGTGCCGACACCGGTGTTTTAGCAAAGCGGCTGATGAGGAGTGAAGCCACGTTAATGACAACGTGTACAACCATTGGAGATGTGAGCAGGACAGACGGAACAACTGACGGGAAAAGTGTGGACTTTATACCAGTTTTTAAATTGTGTTGATCGGCCACGTAAAACCAGAGTTATGATAAAATATCTGCAATGTTTGGTTTTCTTCCTGAATACTGTCGTTGTTTATATTTACTGCGGGAAGAAACGGTAAAAACAGCGTTTTATAAGGAAAACGCTCGAAAGCCTGTGAGCAAAAACAACACCAAACCCCTCCCCCAGCCTGTGTGTCAGAACAATGAGGCGCCTGCTGAGTGTTACAGGAGTTACAGCAGTGATACATCTGCTGCTGTCAGGCCTGCAGGTATCAGGCTGTTGTTCTCCTTCATCTCATTGTGGACAAAAATAATTTTTTGGAGCGGCACAAATAATTTGTGTGGCATCAGATTTGATGCAGAACAGCTGATTGTTCTGTAAATAGTTTGAAATGTTTGTTTAAAACGCCTTGGCTGCATTTTTAGGTAAAAGCTGCAAAAAACTCTGTTTGCAAAACTCAGTTACTTTTTTGAAGAAGTAACTATATAATTAATTGCCCAACATTGGTCATTATTTACTGTATTTTGCAGACAGAGTTACCGACTCTCTCCCAGACCACAGACTCACAATACAAGTCAGAGCAAAAAAAATAAAAAAGAAGGTTGTGTTTTCAAAATTGGAGTTCAAGTTATTTTTACGTCCAATAGTGTTAACATGCTACAGGTCATGAACAAGATCTTTTTTGTAAGTGGGCTAAAGCAGTTAATTAAAAGTAGTCTAACATAAAGTTGGTTCAAAAACTGCTTCTCAGATTTGTTAGTTTTCTAGAGAGCAAATGATTTCAGAGCGATCATTATCATTTTGCACAGTACCTGCAGAGTCATCAGTCACTGTATTTTCTGTACAATGGTATATTAATGTCAGTGTTAATTCCACGTCAGCCTGATGTTTTTTTACTCCTTTGCATCAGTGGCATTTAAAAGTTCATTCTTCATTGCTCTTGTTTTGTCGATGTGCAGATGTTGCTTTAGAGTTAAGCAAATATGAAGTCTGCAAGTTTATATTTGATCATATACAAAATAACATCAGACTAAATGATGGTCACATAACACCATCTCGTGTGTTTACCTTCGAACGTTCTGTTCCACATACGTGAGGTGATCTCTGTTCCATTCTTCTTGCTGTACCCATTTTTCATGGCTTCATGCAAGGCGATGGTATACAGTAACAGGGCATCATGGAACCCCTCCACAAACATGTTGACCTGACATGAAACAAATTCATGAAGTGACTGTGCTGTTCACATAATCACGATGGCTTTTTAGGACAGATGTCACGATGCTTTGCATACATTTACCTTTTGAAGAACTGACAGAATATATTATCAATTTACTCGATATGCAAATGGTAAATGGACTGATTCTTATATAGAGCTTCTCTCCCACAGTACTCAAAGCTTAATACAACACACAACATTCACACAGCACTTTCTTCTTTGATTTTAAGTGCTTATTAAACTAACATTCATACTCCGATGGACGCATCGGAGAGAAACTTAATGTCTTGCCCAAGGATAGTTGACATGCAGACTAGGGGGAGCCAGGGATCGAACCACGAACCTTCTGATCAGAATCTACCTTCTGAGCTACAGCCACACAAAGAGACTAAGTGTAAGTTTCTTGATGCGTGCACAATCATCCAGGTAAGTACATCCCAAAAAGTTGATTCTGTTCATCTGCATCTGTTTTCAGTGGGAAAAACGTTTCATCACTCATCCAAGTGACTTCTCCAGTGACTGAAACCAGCCCACTGAATGAGCAGTGGACTAGTTTCATTCGTTGTGCAAATGTCCTGTTTATAAGGTTGGAAACCTGCAGTCAGCTGAGACTAAAGAAGTCACCTGCATGAGTGCTGAAACGTTTTTCCCACTGAAAACATCCAGTTATTTCTCTTGGTGGTTTTATTATGTAGTCTTAATCTACTTTTAGAACCTCTATACAGTATCCCATTTTAGGAATTTTCTGTAGTTTAACTTTTAAATAGCACTGCGATGTAAAACACATTTGCTTCTGCTAGTCTCTGAAAGAAGTGGTACACACCATTGTATGAAATCTTGCTGCCCCTGGGGCTAAAACTGGGATTCTGACAGGCTCCATAAGTGAGTTAATTCCCACAGACTCCCATGATATCATGGTCCTTGGTCTTTGTCCAAGTATCTTTAGTTTTATTCTGGACTTGTGTCTTAGAAAGTTATTAGATAATGAAGGTTCTAATTCCTAAATATGTTATTTTTACTGCATGTGTTTGTTATTTATAGTTCTTGATCTTTGCTGCTTTATTTTAGTTCCTCTTTTGTGTCCAGTCTGTCTCATCTCTGTTTTCCAGTCTCCAGTGTTGCTGATGGCCCGACAATCAGCTGCAGAAAAGAACAAAGTTATAACATACAAAGGTTGAAGTGAGAGTCCACTGCAGCCTGTCTGTACTGTTCATGTTGTATATTCTTCATGTGGCTTTTTTTTTTTTTTTGTCATTTTTGGCTTAAAAAAACAACACAATTTGTTGTTTTTTTACTTTTTCCCAATTTGAACTTCCCTAAAACCTCTGACACATATGGAAATAATGCTTGGGGTTTTACTCACCAGTTTGACGTTGTACTTGCTCTGAGGGGGTCGTCTAATTGTTGGGGTTATCTGTATTATTGTAGGATCTTTACCTAGACGGGTTTTTTGTTGTGGTTTGACACTATACTGTATAAATCAAACTGAATTGGAATAATCTTAACAGCAGTTTTAGTGTGAGCTAATATGCTAAACTGCTATTTAACACTAATCATATATTATTCTAACCCTGGAAAAGTCCTGTAAGGTTCCAGTTATCACACATATTTTTTTAGTTCTGTTCACTTGACCCTCCAAAATCACTACCTAAACCATGAGGCAAACATATCAGCATTTACGCTCAGTTTTCTTATGCCTTACACTTCTTTATTTTAGTCTGATATTGATAGACATACTTACATTTTCACAGTCTTTGCAGTCATGAAGCCCTACTTTTTCAAAAGGCATTTTCATTTCTATGGAGAAGTTCTCAAACTCAGGCTTGACAGTTCTCAGAAGAGTCACAGTGTTCAGAGCAGCGTAGGCTTGCCTTGCATCGTTGTCGTATTCATCACCTCTCTTCCATGAGCCATTGCCTAGAATTTAAGTTTCCAGGGACAAAAAAAACTACATTTACCAAATAATTTACAAATGTAATGCTTTGCTTGTTACATAGAGCATACATTTACACACAAACCTCATCAAATTGAACCTGTGAAGTAGAACTAAGAACTACTGAGTCTTTCTTTAATCGTTTCACATCTACTGATGCCTCACAAAGAAGAGAACTTGTGCTAGATCAATAAAATTTAATTAAAGTGAACTAAAGTAGTCTGCAATTATTCTAATGTGAATGAATTAAATGGGTAATGTCACTAATATCCATCCATCTATCCATTTTCTTCCACTAATCCAAGGCTGGGTCGCTTGGTCAGCGGCCTAAGCAGAGAAGCCCAGACCTCCCTCTTCCTGGCCACCTCCAGCTCGTCCGAGGGAACAACAAGGCATTCCCAGGCCAGCCAAGAGATACAATCTCTCCAGCCTGTCTTGGATCCCCCACAGGGCTTCCTCCTGTGAGACATGCCTGGACCACCTCAAACAGAAGGCACCCAGGAGGCATCCTTGTCAAATTTCCAAACCACCTCAACTAGTTCTTTTTGATGTGGAGTAGCAGCGGCTCCTCACCCTATCTCTAAGGGAGAGGTAACTCGTCCCTGACCCGGAGCCTCATGAACGCAACGACCACTTCGGACTAAATGATGTTGTTTTTGTGCTTTTTATCACACACACATTTACACATCAAGTTACTTTTTGCACAATGCTCCGTCTTTATGTAGTCCTGTGTTGTCTGTTGTCTGTCTGTTGTATGTAGCACCATGGCTTCGGAGGAACGCTTCACTGTGTACACATGGTTTTACTGACAATAAAGCCACTTGACTTGACTTGAGTGGGCACTCCATCATTTTCCGTCTGAGGACCATGGCCTCAGATTGGAGGTGCTGATTCTCATTCCCTCACGTATCCACGAGAGGATAAAGAGCTGGACCAGTATTCTCTGACGGGAAAGAAAACTGCATTGTTTCTCCTGTATCCGAGGTTCGACTAACAGACGTAATCTCCTTTCCAGCACCGTGACATAGACTTTCCCGGAGAGGCTGAAGAGTGTGATCACCGTATAGTTTCAGCACACCCTCCAGTCCGTCTTCTAAAAGATGGGAACCACCACCCTGGTCTGCCAGTCCAAAGGTACCACTCCTGATCGCCATCGTAGAGGTGTGTCAACCAAGACAGCTTTACAACGTCCAGTTGAAGTCAGCAGTGCTCCACCAGCACTTGTACCCCTCCTGAGTCGCCTGAGTTTGCCAGAAACTCTTCAAGGCAGTCCACAAGTCTTTTTCCATTGCCTCTCCAAACTTCTCCCACACCTGAGTTTTTGGTTCAGTCATTGCCCGAGCTGTGTTCCTCTTGGCCTGTCAGTACCTGCCTCTGAAGTCCCACAGGCTAACCAAGCCCGATAGGACTCCTCCTTCGGCCCAATGGCTCCCTTCACCTTTGTCCACCTGGTTTGGCGGTTACCACCACGCAGGCACCAACCACCTTACTTAACTGGTACACACTTTAACAAACCTTGACAGACAATGCCAGTGCTTTCTAATAATTATTTACCTTAAATATGTATGTTAGACACATTTAAGGTAATGGATGTTAACTTACCATAAGAAGAGGCATTAAAGAGTTCAACATTAAAGAATATGCATTTGCCAGTTGTCATCTGTCGTTTGTGTGCAGCCAGCATGATCTCTCTTATTTTTTCTGCTCCCATGCACATAATCACCACTGCAGAGAAAATCAGACAGAGACAAAAAGTCATTTAATAGGCTCATCAGTTTATTTGGACACAATAAGTTATGAAAAGGGAAAATTAATTTAGGTAAGCTTTAGTGTAATTTACGTTAAAAGATAACCCAAGCTCCACAAATAATAGTGAAAATAATAACAATTCAGTCGGATTCACAGTCGGGTGGGTGGTGTGGTTTTGCCACACTTGTATACATTTTTCACACAGTCATCAAATAATCGTAGTTCCTGACAGATTTTCATTCCAAGCACATCAGATATTTAATGCATGTAATTTACTGTGTAGCCAGTTACAATCTTTCTCGGTGTGCAGGTTAGTGCTCCACAATAGCATCGAACCCCACATGTCCCAGATGTAATTCTTTTTTGAGGAGCATATCATGTTAATCAAATTCTAACACACATACCTCACATAGCTTCAAATGATGAAAAGAACCATCAAAGTGAAAACAGTAAGAAATTTACCACAAGCCTATCTCCAGCACAGCTGCTGATAATTATTACTGTAAGATGTGCACGTATACACAGAGCGCTCTGTGGACTATTTCCAACACAAAATGTAACCAGTGGATGTGTGGTGTGTAATCCTGGATGCACGTCACTCTGATTAGAGCCTGCAGATGGAGCAGATACTGGACCAGCTGCCGTCAGAGACAGCTGGCTAAAGCTAATCAGCTGATGGACTCCATGCAGTGTGCTGCTTTTGGGCCACATTGGCACAATCAGTGCTGTTACTTAAACTGTATATTTTCAGTTTAATCAGTCATGTTAGTCAGACATCGTCCTCACATCTGATGGAGCAGATAAGCTTTTAACTTAATCAAGCTGTCTGTACAGACTGCATCATGACTCATATTTCATTTCAAAATGTGATTCGATCTTCAAGATGAAGAACTTACTGATCCTGCTGGGCTGCTTGATGTCGCTGCACAACAGACTAAGCATTTAGGTACACACTAATGAACTGTAAGGAAAAGATTCATTACAGCAGCCCAGCTTCTTCCATTTCTCAGTATTTGGTGTTCATATGCAGATGTGGACAGGGGCCAGCATGGTACCAGCTGAGCATGCCTGAGAACACATCCTAAAGAGGAAGGTGCTCAAGAGGTATGTTGATCAGATACTGAACTGCACAGCTGACTCATATCAACACAAACAACCAAGTTGTCTCCAGATGTACAAGCTCCTGTTTCTAAGATGGAGTTAATACACTACATAGATGAAACCTATATTTCGTAACCTTTATATACGTAATATAATGTGTTGGTTTACCACCTCAATCACTGCCAGGGGCTTGGACTGTAGAACAACCAGGAAAACATGCAACACATCAACTACACATTTAAATAGTGCTTTTCTACTCTTGCTGAGCACTCGGAGCATTAAGAAGCTGTGTACCGATGAAACACAGTCAAAGCTAGGTGCAGGTTCACTGTTCACTGTGTCTTTCTCAGGAACAACACTCCAAGACTCCTGCACTTAGGGACACACCTCACTTGCTTTTACTGTATGTAACTGTATCCACTGCCACTCATTATCATTTGATCAACATTATTGGATTATTATTATAATTATTATTGGATGTTTCAAGTTCTGTTGAGTAGTCGGCTTCTATAAAATTGAAACTGGTACTGGTGCTTTTCTCCAAAGCACTTTCTAGTAAAAGTCTTATTCGTCCAGTCTCACACGCTTTCATACCAGGACTTTAGTCTAAAACTAAAACAGCTGCACTGGAGGCAACTTATCTCTTGAAGGCAACTTCAGCATCTTGTCTCGGAGGAGCCAGCGATCCTTCTTTCACAACCAAAGTAGTTGCATTGTGCAGACCATTACAATACAGAGTTTATATGAGTCCTACATTGTTTCACTTTTTATAAGAAGTACCAGCTGCTTGGTGGCCTGACACACTAATATGCCCTGAGAAAAAAGAGACATGTGTGTAAGCAGTAAACCATAACAAGCTGATTAGAGGACGTTTAAGTTTAAACACAACACAACTGTGTCTTTTTCCCTTTTGCTCTTTGGAAAAGCTGTGATGTCCGTGGCACGGGTAAGCACATGCTTTGGTAGACTGGTGCTGAAATGGGTCAAACGGCAGGTGTTCCTACTGATGGCTGTCCAAATGTGACAGGAAAAATTGTTGGAGATTTGATGCAGAGCCAAGATAAAATGACTAAAATAAACCCAGAACTGATATTGGTATTATGCATTGTATTATCCACCAGGAGGAGTCGTATATGTCAGTGCTAGAAATGGACCACGCTACGTTTTTTACAGTTTGATTCCCTGCAAGTCAGGATCAGTGCTGGATTTGTATTTTTCTCAAAAGAAGAAAGCTTTACACACATACAGTGTGGAGACATTATTGTAGCATCTTTAACTTCAAATACAAAACGTCTTGATCCTGTTGTGATTTGGTGCTGTACAAACTGAACTGAGACATGCTCAGGAGATGCTGGTTCTCTTTGGATGCACTTTCATGTGTAACTTAATCTCAGCGAATAGATGAACAAATACAGATGCAGCTTCTTCTCATCTGTCCACGCTGTCCAGTGCATTTGTTCAAGCTCCAAAAAGAACTCTGGAGTTAAAGTTAAAGTGCAGAAAAAGTCACTAAACTATGAGTGAGACAGCAACAGCACTTTGTGAGCAAGTGTGCACACTTTATTCACGCTTGTGGAATACTGATTTAATATAAAATTAAATAATTTTACATTTGAGTTCAGACTGGTCTTCACACTCCAACACGCTGGGAGTCGGTGTTTCTCGAATGCCTTTGAAGTAAAAACTGACCACTTTTCAAATTGTAATTGTAAAATGTTCATTATTATTATTCAATTCAACAATGCAAAGTCCTCGAAAACTAGGAAAAAAAATTAATCAAATTAATAGAGTTCATATAAAGCACCCTGATTTGCATATTAATTGCAGGAATTTAAAGATAATCATCTGAAGAATTTAAGAAATCCATGTTAGTAAAGAGACTCCTCACTGCTCTGTAGACCGCAGAGCCTTTTCTGTTTACTTTAAATATTTAATGATCAAAATGAGCGAAGTGAGCCGAGGAGGAAAAAGTCAAATGTAACGAAGGATTTTGCTGGGTTGTATAAAAGGGTTTTTTTCCCCTCTGGTGTCCCAGTGATTAAAAATAAATAAACCAACAAACACATGGCTGCACAAACAAGGCTTGCAATTGAAAAACAGTAACCCCAGCGCCCCGTCTAATAAGGAAGATTCAGAGTCTCGCTGGAACATTCCTCACAACTCTGTCACTTAAACACACCTCCTGAAATATCCCTTGAGTCAGTGGGACAAACTTCACCTCAGTACTGCCAGCACTGTAGCACCCTTTAATTACACTGGGCTCTACACACTACTGGCCCTGTATATGCTCTGCAAGCCATTCCACGGGGCAGCGCTTGCAGCCAGCAATATTTCAAAACTTCTGGATTTTCCTTTTTGCTGGAGCGCTGATGCTCGTTACAAATGAACTCAGGAATGGGCCAGCACATGGAGCACTTACTGAGTGCCCACACTGTATTTCAGATGCCCTGTTTCGCCTGTTAGCTTTCGAACTATAACATAGTGAAAATGGGCAGAGGCAAATTGCAATGCCATTTCCATAAAACAACAAGCAGTGATGTTGAATGTGCTTGTCAGACAGGTGAACGGGATAAGGAAAAGAAAGGAGGGTGGAAATTAAATATGTATATGTAGGTCAGTTAAACAGAGTCCTTAAGATACAGAAATCAATATTTATTTCCTGACTAACTGTTTCTCCTTATTATTATAGTCCTGGGGTACATATCACTGTCTGAACCTTGCAGCCTGATTATCAAGTCACTTGTGGTTGCAGAGTCAAAGTGGATCTCGAGTCCTACCGGAGCCCTGGAGGAGTTCTGTCCTTCATACAGATTCAGGATCAGAGTGCAGGTCTCACATGGACTAACAGTGGAAATGAACCAATCACAAGAAAGGTTTGTGTTAGAATCTTTATGATGTGATGTTACAAAATCATCTATAACAAATAGTTTGGGTTTTTTGTTTGCATACGTTGGGAGAAGCACATAGTTTTGAATTATTGGAGATAAATTATGAAAATTTCAGGGGCGGATCACGCCTCCAAACACGGCCCTTCCGTGTATTTTCTATATATGACCCGCACCCCCGGCCCAGTTCTACAAGCTGTTCGTTCGCGTTGATCCCCCCGTGTTCTCTCATTAGTACACGGGGGGATCTGCCAGGCCCGGGAGCTGCCGCCAGTCCCTATCGAGGCCTTTAAACAACCGCAGCTCAATTCTTGATTAACCCTCTCAAGGCAGGTGTTGCCAATTTACAACAGTTAAAAACTAACAACCTGATTACCCCACATACATATTTTATGAGTTTTTTTTACTCAGAAGTACCACTGGAGGACTTGGTTGTGCATTAGCAACAAAAGGTTTAATTTGAGCATGAGAGGGCTAAGCCATTTGCCTTTATATACTAAAACTAAGCTAAAACTAACCCCTAACCCTAACCCTACATCTTACATTGTAATTTTATTTGCATTTCAAACTGAGTATGAAACAATAAATTTTTTCAGTTATCAGGAAAATCAAACTAAAGGATCAAATTCCAAATGACATCACCTCAAAAAACCAATCAAATCTGAGAAGCTGGATCGTCAGATTATAACGGGCAAAGCTGACGACAGCCTGAAACTGAAGCTGATAAACATGTGATTCACTGCCTTTAATATTCATGGTTTAAAAGCATAAATGAAGCCTTTAGAAAAATAATATTACTCTTCAAATCTGTGCTTCACGCTTCATTCAACATAGAAACATGACACCCAGCTTGACTTAAGGTTTTATTGTACAATATCAGCTCTGGGAATTTGGGACACGGTCTAAAGTAATAACCCAACATGTGGCTCTCAGTCAAACAGAGGAAACATATCAAATCTTTAAACTTTTACATTTGATGAAAATCTCATCTGTGTCTTATTTTTCAATGGCAACACATCTGAGA